CCTGACATTTACAGCTTGTTGAGAAACAGAATTGAGAGATTCAAAGTCAGTCTACAAATCCTAAGACAAAGCCATGGCAGCTGAAGTGTCAGTGAACTACAGAAAATGTGTTTGTGGATGCACTCAGAACTGGAGGCATCATTTAGCTCTCATTTCTCCCATTAATATGGAAGTCAGATGACAATACCAATAATCATATGACCCTATAGGGAGTTTTCCAGATGAGTATGAATGATCAAAGTCCAATGCTGAGCATGAAAAGGTTTTTTTTTCCTGGTAACCAAGCTCTAAGAATCTTCCTCCAATCCACCTGTGGCCATTATGAAGCTATGTCCTCTAAAAAGTAATTTTCCCAACCTCAGGTTCTTGTAATTTGACCTAAGTTCTAAAGTGTGTGTGAATATGGTTGTTTCATTTTATCTAACTTTTCTCCCCTTTTTCTTTCCTTTTCTTCCAGGAGGAACTGTTTTAGTGAAACCAAGAACGGGGGGAAATGATAAAGCCTACATTGGGCCCCACAGGAGATGTGACTCCAGTCTAATTGTAGCAACCTTTTAGTCTTTTTAATTTTAATGTAGCTTGGAGGTCTGCCAGCCAAAAGGCAGAATCCTGAGATGGGGCAAGGGAATATGGCAAACACTCCATGTCCTGGGGCAGAGAAAGGGGGCTCAATCAACTGTAGAGAAAGATGTCAAGCAGCCCAGTCCAGCAAAGGGAGGACAATTAAAATTTTCAGCTCTCAGCCCACAAATAAATGCAGAAAGACCATGTCTTGGGTTGTTATTTCAAGCAAGAGACAGAATTAGAATGAATGTATAGCCAACTGATGGGACAATTCCAATACCAGAGGAATTTGGGGAGAAAGGGTCCCATCTTGATTTTCCCAGGTATGGGGAACTTTTCTTCTTCCATATGTCAGACTTCAGCTCCTATTGTCCTTCACCATTGACTGCCCTTACTAGAGCTGATGGGCATTGCAGTTTGAGCACATCTGGAGGGCCATATGTTTCCCTCTGAAAACATATAGCATCCTTTTCATTGATAGAGTGAGTATAAGTTAAACAGAGGGAAATGTCCTGTCTCTTGCTTTCAGTAAGTAACAGCCATCATCTGATTGAAATAATCTTCGTTGTTCGATTGAATGTGGTTTAATCTATTAAATCTGCATATATTTGTATATGAATAAAAATCAATACACTGAAAGAAAGAAAAAATGCTATTGTTTTCATTGCTCTTAGTGTGATGTAATGGTTTGTAGCATTGTGCTATGACACTGGAGACCAAGATTAACAAAAAATGAAAGATTACTTTTTTTCCCATGTCAGGAGTGACTTGAGAAACTACAGGTTGCGTGTGGTGTGAGTGAATTGGCCGTCTGCAAGGACGTTGCCCAGGGGATGCCCGGATGTTTGATGTTTTACCATCCTTGTGGGAGGCTTCTCTCATGTCCCCACATTGGGAGCTGGAGCTGACAGAGGGAGCTCATCCACACTCTCCCCAGATTCAAACCTGCAACCTGTCAGCCTTCAGTCCTGCTGACACAAGGGTTTAACCCATTGCACCACGGGGGGCTTCAGTGACCCTTGGCGACTCACACTTTCTCAGCCTCAGAAGAAGGCAAATACAAACATCCTCTGGAGAAATCTTGCCAAGAAAACCAAAGTTAGGGTTACTTACTACTGCACACATTTTTCGCCGATACATCACACAGTTCTAGACACTTGGGAAGTGTCTGACATGTGATCCACTACAAAAGCCAGCATAGTGATCTTGTTTGCTGTGGATTCATCTTGTTGTGCATCAAAGAATAATAATAATAATAATAATAATAATAATAATAATAATAATAATAATAATAATAATAATAATAATATTTTCTTGCTTTCCTGGTGACTTTTTGTAGCAGCAATTTGCAGAATCCTTCACCTGGGCAATTCTGAAAATTGTAGTCTAATAATCATCATCATCGATTCTAAAATGCCATTGGTTTTAAATTTCACACTAATTTCAGTGTCACCATCAGAAAAAAAACAAACCTGTGTGTGTGTGCTCCATTCTTAGATATATTTATATGGGGAAAATGTGCATTTTACAATCGAAGAAATACAAGAAGGAGGAGGGGAAGCAGCAGCAGCATGGATGATGATGATGATGATGATGATGATGATGATTCTTATTATCCCTCCAAGCTTGGTGGAAGTGGGTGGGTCTGATACACCAGAACAAAAGAACACATGGCCATCAGTTATAAGAAGCTAAGTTTGTCCGTACCAAACTGCTGTTTACCTCTTTTAAAATACCTCTGAGCTGTGTGTGTGTGTAGGAAAAACAGTAGTTAAGGGATAACCCAAAGCCTGAAAGAATAACAGCAGAGAATCAGCGAAGAGGTGGCTTAGGGATTAGGCTCTGAGACGGAAGTGCCCCTTCTTCTTTGGAGGGCTGCCATGTCCAAACAGTGACAAAGGAAGGCCTGACCGCCTAAGCCACTAAAATAGCATTATCCGTAACTGATGAGAAACAGGGTGGAAGGGTGGGTGGGATGAGCTGCCAAAAAGCATTAGCTGTGGGTTAGGAAGGCAGCTTTTCAGGAGGGTTTTAAAAGTACTGTATTAGTCTGGCAGATTTGAGGCCTTTTTAAAACAACAACAACAACAACAACAACAAATAGCATTGTTTTAGGCTGAATCTAGATCCCAGAAGGAGACCACAAAACGGAAGTGATTGAAGTATTGAAAACAGTACCACATTGTCATTCTCTGTTGGAATGAAGGAGGAAATCGGAGAACAGTTGAATTCCCAGGGTCTAAGAACATAAACTAGGAGATGGTGTCAGAGACAAGAATGGGATTGTTATTTACTATTTCTATACATGTTATATATGAAATACTTTATATGCACACTCGCAATATTTGCTTGGAAATTAGTGCTGGCTGAAATAACCATGTCCAGCACAGTGCAAAAAAGCGTTTTTGTTGTTGTTTCCGTTTTCCCACCCCTAAAACTGCCAAGAAATTGGGTTCTCGGATTTTGGGCAAGTTGAGTAGAGCTATTAATGGGAAACTCCTGAAACAAGAAAAAGCCCTACAAAGAATTAAAATAAATCTTTTTAAATTTTACGCCACACTGTACACAGATATTTGGGGTTATCCTACACCCTGAGATTTCAATGCTGGAAAGGATGGAAGATAAAGTTCTAAGGGTTGCTGTGAGTTTTCCAGGTTGTTCTAAGCTTTGAGACAATGACCAAAAGAGTCCTTGAGAACCCTTTGGAAAGGTGACCATCATTTCTGGCTGCCCAAAATAGAAGTCATGTTAGTGAAGCAACGGAGTAGCCAAATTGTTTGATTCCACTTTAACTGCCATGGCTCAATGTATGGAATCATGGGAGTTGTAGTTTTCTGAGGCATAGCTGTTAAAGTGGCACCAAGATAGCTAAAACTGTGTTTGTTGTTCATTCGGTCAGTCGTTTCCGACTCTTCGTGACTTCATGGACCAGCCCACGCCAGAGTTCCCTGTCGGTCGTCACTGCCCCCAGGTCCTTCAAGGTCAATCCAGTCACTTCAAAGATGCCATCCATCCATCTTGCCCTTGGTTGGCCCTGCAACCATAACATTATTGCTACTTTCATATTTGTAATGTTGCTACTGTTATGAATTGTAATGTAAACATCTGATATGCAGGATGTATTTTCATTCACTAGACCACATTTGTAGAAGGCAAAAGGAAGAGGGGCTGACCAAGGGCAAGATGGATGGATGGCATTCTTGAAGTGACAGGACTGACCTTGAAGGAGCTGGGAGTGGTGACGGCCGACAGGGAGCTCTGGCGTGGGCTGGTCCATGAGGTCACGAAAGAGTCGTAGACGACTGAATGAATGAACAACAACAAGACCACTGATTTAGCCAATAGTTTACTTAAAAGTGACCGGGGGGGGGGGGGGGGGGTGATTTTGTCATTTGGGTGGACTCAAACAATGATGTATCTGGACCTAACGTGGCAGAAATACTCAATATTCCCTAATCTGAATACTGGTGGGGTTGGCAGGGGGATTGATTTTGTCACTTAGGAGTTGTAGTTGCTGGGATTTATAGTTTACCTACAATCAAAGAGCATTCTGAACTCCACCAACAGTGGAATTGAACTAAACTTGGCTTGCAGAACCTCCATGATCAACAGAAAGTATTGGAAGGGTTTGATGAGCATTCACCTTGAGTTTTTGGAGTTGTAGTTCACCTACATCCAGAGAGCACTGTGGACTCAAACAATGACAGATCTGGACCAAACTTGGCACAAATCCTCAATATGCCTGTTATGTCACGTGCTGGGCCTGTAACAGCTGTCTTTTCTATAGGACGTATACTTTAAGCCCAACAGGAAGCCTCAAAGAGAGGTTCTCAGGGATTTTTCTGAACTAATGGTCTTTAGAGTCTTTAATGATAAAACAAAGTCTTTATTATGGAACAAACAACAAATCTTCAATGG